CTGGCGAAGGACTTGAATGCATTTCGCAACCTTGTGAACACAATCGTCATTTTTTCATTAGAACAAGCCAACTATGATTTCAGTGTTTTTGAGTTGGTTAATTTGTAATAAATGCTTCTATTTCATTAAACCTTTGCTAGCTTGGCTCCAACCCAGTATTCTATCGAGTAGGCCATTCCAGAACTCATATTCTCAGCTATCACATAGGTAAAACGAGCATCTTTCCACAGCTTTAGGAGACCGAAGAAATTCGTCATATCCAATTCAGCACCCGGTACTGTTAATTAAACTGTCACCAAGTGACAGAGGAATGCAGTGCTTATTCATGTCCCCCCCCCCCCCCCCCCAACAAGATTCATCTCCCGCCTCCACAACTTGAGAAACATTATTTGCCCTGTTTTTCAGTGTATTGCCATTATTTCGTTTCCTTACTTTTTTCTACTTTTTAGTTTAATAATCTGAGAAAGCAGAATTTGTTTAATTTCGTCGAATATTGCACAAAGTTTGCCTGCGACTTTCATTAACTGACCTCATTTCCAATCTCTCACCACATTCTTTGTACATTCCCACAGTGACTTTATAGAGAAGTGAACTATGTTTCAGGTTGGCTATTCATTTTGGCTAGCAGTCGGAGCTATGACACTCGCCATCGTAAGCACGTTTTTCGCAACATGCTCTTCATGTCTGGGTGAAAACTACTTATAGAGGATTAGAATAGAACATCTTTTATTTCCTTGTTTACAAGAAGTCGTAGTGAAATAAACGACTTTTTTTTGTTCTTTCGCGAGCCTAGCGCATTAGTAATGATGTTGTTTAATACGAGTAATCGATGCTTCAACACCGTTAAGGATCCATCAAGACTCTCACGTTTCCGGAAGTGAGAAATTTGCACCGGAGTAATCTGCGATCAACTCACACCCTGTAAACCACGTGCGAATGCCCTACTACTGCTATTTCAAGATTTCAGACAGAGTTCACTCTACCAGCTTTTAACGACATTTAAAAAGAAGACCAGAAATTCAGAAACGGAACCACTGTACAATTTCCGTCGAATTTCCGGAATGATGAATGCAAGGGAATGAATAGAATGCAAGAAGGGCTGAAATCCGCAAAATATGTCCTTTGTTGGTTCTAAAGAAATAAAAAAAATAAAATAGTCCTTAAAGAAAGTGTCATTGCAATCAAAAAGTACTGATTGAGAACGAGCATCCATTTTCATTTGGATGTTCATATAAGAATAAGTGAAATGACGAGAAATTTCACCATTACCGCAATGACTTCAACAAGGTAACAAACTTCTCTCGGCCCCACAGTAGGTTGCGAATATCTCCACTGACAAAGCGAGAACACTCCTACATGACTATCCCGAAACAACATGAAAAAGGTTACTTGGCTTAAAAAGCCAGTTTTGTTTACGCATTGAAGCGATATCTACAAGGTTCAACCTATGTCTGGACTAGCTAAGCCCTTGTTTTACCAAAGTCGGAGAACTGGCACCGAGTTTCATTGCGATGATAAAAATATTGGCTTGATACATCCGCACGTCTCAGAATGTTATTATGCAAACCAAATATTTACTCAACCACTTCTACAATGAGTTTATGGAGACAGATGCGTGTGGTATCCTACTGGGAGTTATTAACGTCGAACGTTCTATCTTTTATCCTTCGTGCCAAAGTTGCTGTTGGATTTTAGCACGGAGAAATTGCGTGACTCAAACGAAGTTCGTATTATATGCAAGATGCTCTTCAAGAATTGTTTATGGAAGACACCTAGCATATCGGGCTGATAATGGATACCGAGATCACCTTAACCAATCTTTAATACACTGACTGTGTTTGTTCCTTACTTGTTCGAAGTTTATTAATCCTAAAATGACAGCTCCTAGCCTGAAAAAGCCTCATGTATTGCAGACTGGCATTGAGGTTACCATGTAGTTCATATTCTTGAGCTCAACATCAACTACGCAACGGAATACTGATGAGGTATTCATTCACTACGAACGTTAGGTCTTCAACGATTGTAAAGTGGAATATTTGTATACAATTTCGTGGTAGTTATTTCTGTCTCATGCTGGATGTTGTTGACAATCATGTAGTAATGAGAGCAAAGGATTTCCGAAGATTTAGAAGATGCCCAGAGGATTCCACTAACTCCATCAATAGCTTGTTGTAAGAAAGTCATTGCCTTGAACTTGCCCGCACAGTTTCCTCTATTCACAGACTTACGCTTAAAAATCAAATAATACTTGGAAGTGTAGCAGTTATCACTCTTTCTGATTATTTGATAACAGACTGTCAAGACAATGCTTAGTTCAGTAGCTAACGGTTTGCTGAACACCGCCTTCTTCAGAGCTGTTTTTCGGTGACCCACTTCCTCTTTACACAACCGTCTGGATCACACATGGAATGAAGGTTTCACCCTCTAAAAATTGATGTAGCAACCGTGTACAAGCTTACTAAAAATAATTCAGAGTGGAATAATAGCTGTTGGACCCACTAGTGACGATGTGACAGTGGAAGAAGCGACGCCGGACATAACTGTTCGGCGTTACTAAACAAAACCATGTTTTTGGAGGTGAATCGCTGATGTCCATTCTTGAATGGATACATAAGTCATGGTTGTTAAATGTTTGACAAAGCTCTGCTTTGTGGAACGTCTACACGAACTACAATATACACCATTACAGTGAGCCAAACTTATATGAATTCTTGAATGACTGAATGACTGCCGTATCTAGAAATTATGAATAACCGTGCAGTCTATTGCATGGTTCTCATTTGACTGCCGGTTTTTTGAACGAGTACGGTTTTCTTTGCCAGGTTTCTCGAAAGTCGTGCTAAGGCCTCATCAGCTGGTCACTACCTACCAGCTTGGTATGTTGCTGCCATGAAAACTGATTCTTCGAAGTGGTTAACTCAGGGATGGGCTTCATATGAAACTGTAGAATTCCTTCTGAACATAGAAGATCCCACCGGCAGGCCTGTTTGCTATACATCGCAATTCGACACCTAAAAACACCTCCAAGCCACGGTAAACTATTGAGAGGGAAGAGGTTGGTGAAAACATCACCTAAGCTGGACCTTTTCAATATATTTATTATAAAGATATCCAAGAACCCTTGCTAAAATATTCATTTAACTCAGATTTACCACCAGCAAAGAAGAAAGAATTCTGTAGTTTTCAAAAAGATAACCGAAAAGTCTGAAAAGGAAATTCAAGAACGTAGGTTGAGTCTCGAAATTCTTTCTTTAAATAAGCACGATTGGCTTAATTAATGAGAAACAGTTACAGTACCGTCAAAGCGGTCTAGCAACTGTAAAACAAGCTATATATTTGAGATGTAAGTTGATTACTGAGTGGGTTATACTTAAGGTTACCAGTACATACGCACCATAGCAAATAAACTCCACTTCCCCGAAAATATAAACATATGCGCTTTACATAGACTGTCGGTAGGATTTTCACTCTTACTAAAGCAGAAATTATTATAGAACATGTCTGCTGTAAGGACGCATCCCACAAGACATACGACCCGATAAGTAGTCCGATCTTACCCATCTTCCACTTGAAACACGTATGTTACTTTTGTTCTGCGTAAACGTATTCCTCAATTTTTTATTTCATCACTACTGTTATTTTGAAAGAGTGTGAAAAAGTCATGTTCAGCACTTCTTTAATTTACTGCTCTTCCATTCACGCTATACCTAGCAACGGTTTATCTCCTCATCGTGGCTGGGAGGTGATCCTGGCTGTTGGACTGCGATGTACAGCGGGGGATTCCTTGGCAGGATCTCCCAAGTTGAGGAGTCCGGTGTTTCCATCAAGAAACCTAGCTAAGAGTAAACCAATACCAGGATCCACCACAGTCCTAGTATCAGTCACATGGCGGCAAATCTCACTCTAATCCACAAAGGCTACGGCCGTATGTGGTGCTGAAGACCTGGGCCAGACTTAGGCCAGCCTGACCTCGGGATTCTAGAGAACCACAATAGCTTAGCCAGCTAATCTCCGAAATAACGGTCCGCACACGTGGGGCCTGCACAAGAAGTGAGGACGGGCCGTCCAAGTATCAAGTATCAAGTAAGTAAGTACATTCACACTAAAAGGGCACGTGTAGCGAAGTGCTCTCAGAGGCCCTGCGAATCACACGAAATCGATCCCGGCTCCCAAGACTCACCAACCTTTCCATCCTTCCGGAGTCGGCGAATTGATACAAGACTTGTCTAGCAGGATAGCAGCATTGGCTCGATACATCTGTAGGCCACCGCAGGTCATTGTAAGATGCCACATACGCATCCAATCACCTCGAAGCGATACTTGATGAAGTCGGGTGCCTGGCGCATCTCTCAGGGATTGATCAATACCGAGAGCTTTTATTTTACATTCACAAGCAAAAAGGATAATAATGTAAACTCATTTATTGTCCAAAAGTGGAGCCAATCGAAAGTTTTAGAATGTCAAAAAAAATGGCAGAGTAAAAGCTTTTAAAACCTGATAAGAATGTGTTAATATTACAGTTTGTATGCAATATGGAAATGAATATGAGTAGTGACAACTGTGCCTCTGAACGGATGACGTAAAATCGGCGTAAGAAATCCATTTATGGAATACAACTGGCTAGAATATTGTAGTCATGCGAAGCAGACCAGACACAACTGGCTAGATCATAAAGAAAGAGGGAAAAAGCATGAAAACGCACTTTCGTAGTATAACTACTGCTTATAAATTAGTACCTAGCGTAAATGAGGCGGTGACTTTTTATGAAAAGGCAGAGTAGATTACGAGGGTTATGCGATTGGCAGTGATCAAGCGATAACCCAACAGAAATGAAAGATACTGGAAATGAGAAGAATAAAGAAGAAAGGCGTTATATTGAAAACAGCCAAATTTAAGAAAACAGCTAAAAAAACATAATTTTGGTGTGTTAAACATACACAAGAGCGCAGAAACACAAGCACCCTCTAATACATGGAATTATCTAATCGCCGGGACAGAAATCACTTCTTCTGGCCTTCTTGCTCTAGTTTCACCAAATTATAGCACTGTGTCGGTAACGCATCACGAATCTCTTCCAGATTTCGAACCTGGCGAAAAACTGTTAAATATGTGAAGCATAAATGGTTTCGATATGTTTGTATAACAAACGGGAACAATCATGTTCATGTTTTATTTTGACGGTGTCCTGCCGGAGTTTCTTACTAGAAACGCCAGAAATAGCAAACAGATATCCTTAGGGTAAAAAACTTCACTACTTTTACTACGAACAAGTGCACGATTATGATTTTGAAAGCTCACCTCTTTCGAGACGGAGTCTATCTCGCTTTTTATTTGCGCTATGCGCCTATCCTCTTCAGTTTTTGACATTTTATGTTTAGGTACCTGCAAAACAAATTCGATTATACTAATTTCAGACATAAGTGAACATTCTTGAGACATATTCATAGAAAACATATCAGTTTTAAATGATCAGATAGCATAACTCATACATCTTGGAATAAACAGTAAAATAGACCTACTGAAAGAGATTTCTATGATATACGGCAGGCAGATGACTAAGTACTAGAAACTGTCTTGGGCTCACCACTTTTCTTTTGTATTAGCATGAACAGGAGATGAATGCAGTCCAACTGCCTAACCTGAGTTTCCATGTGGGCTTCGGCCAGCAGTTTCTCCAAGCTGTCAAGTTCGGATTCCAACTCATCTAGCTCAGCGTTGTTTACCGATTCCAGTGCATCTACACACGAACACTTACACATAATGGTTTACAGAATATGCAGAATGAAAAATCTGAATCGTACTCAGTCGATCAATGATTTTCTTGATCTGGCCAGCTTCTTCAGCAATGGTGGCATTAGCATCACGTGCAGCTTTCTCAGCCAATGATGCTTTGCGGACAGCCTGAAACAATGCATGATCCTGAAGTGAGGTAAGTCCTGTTGCCAATTATCACTAGCAAAGCTAACTTCGGTTGCCATTTGTTTGTCAGCTTCAGCTTGGGTTTTGTAGCTGTCCAAAGTGGAGTTTGTCTCAACCAATTCCTCAATAAGTTGATCGACATCAACATTTAACGCTTCAGCAGACTTACGCGTTTGCAACGTCAAGTTTTGGAATGCTTTTGCCTTCTGAAACAGTAATATGCACAGTAAACTGGTCGTGAACCATGAAAACTTGAAATAAAAGCATACGACATTATGGTAACGAGGTATGACATCCTAGCAAATAATCATATTTCACATCTGTCTTCTATACATCATACCTCCTAACGGTTTACCGACTCATCGTGGCTGGGAGGTCTTCCTGGGTATCGGGTTGCGATGTGCAGCAGAAGGATTCATTCCCCGGTAGGGTTTCCCTAGCCCAGGACTCCGGCTTCTCCATCAGGAAACCATCAGCTAAGAGTAAATCAAAACTAGGATCGACCACCGTCCGACCGCCTGTGGTGGTGACCACCTTAGGCAGATTTTGGTCAGTCTAACCGTGGGACTCCAGAAAAATACAATAGTTAAACTAGCAAGACTTCGAAAAATGGAGATTATAATGGGACCCGCACAACCAAGCAAATATTCTTTATATTAATGATGGGGCCTAATGTTCTACTATACGCAATAAGGTATTTATGTGGCACAGAAATATCCAATGTTTCAACTAACCGCATTAACAATTTTTGCATCCTCGCCAGCCTGACGGGCCAGTTCTCTTGCTTGTTCCGCATCAGCGGCTGCCGAGCCAATAGCATTTTCTGCATCAGCAGTTACCATTTCGGCTTTTTTGATAGCAGCATTAATTTCATCCAACTTATTTAACTGTTCAATTGCAGCCGCTTTTGATTTTTCCACTCGTTCGTTGAATTCTAAGAGAAACAAAGGGAATGGTAGGAAAACGACAACGATTATATTCAAAATTGCCACCATTCAGAGTTTCAAGTGTTCTCTCAGCGTCCTTCAGTGTATTTTCAGCCATTTTCAAAGCATCGTCTGCTCGTGCTCTTGCAGCATCAACGTCAGCGAGTAGGGCATCAGAGATCTTAACTAACGCACTGCTACTTAATATCACATAAACACGAAATTAACTGCTTGAACTGTTTCAAGTTTTGAAAAACTGCTTCATCGCCACTTGCATATGTATTACTTTATCTTCTACCATAGTGATAAGCTTCATTTTTCCACTACATCTTAGTAAAAGATTCATTGAAAAACCTGATTTTCTATTCATAATCAAATTATTGCTTCTTCTTAATGTTCCAATATAACAGATTCCTGCCAACTAATCCTTTTCATGTTCCTTCATCTATGCATCACATCTGACTACAAATACATTTCCAATCCTATGGTGATAGACGATGTTTAGCAAACCTGATCATTTCCGGCCAACAAAACCCAACATAATTAAATCGGACCTGTTGTTGATCTTCAACGCTTTGCAACTCATTTCTTGCCTCAGCAGCAGCTCGGGCAGCCTGTTCTAACGTGTCTTTGCTGTTCTCAGCCTCCTTCCTTGTATTCTCAATGGCCAACATTGCTTCGGCATTGATATCTTTTGCTTCGTCTTTTAGCTGAAACGTCCATCAGTTCATTAGCGTAGTTGAAAATTTGCCAACGTTGGTAGACATACGGGTTCAGCGCAATGATTGAAGAACATTAAGATTCATAGAGAAAGAATATACTGAACAAAGTTCATTGACGTCACTTAAATGTACGTTCTCGGCGACGTGATTGCTTGCAAAGAAAATTTAATGAGCCATAATAAAGATATTACAATAAATCTTATTTGTAACTTATAAAAATCATTACTATTAAGGACTTCAAAGCAACTGAGCATTTTTAAGCCGATGATTTTCTTAATTAATCACTTTCCCAAGAAATTATATCCATAACATTCATACCGGCTGGCCGCATGTTCGACGATAACGGCACGATTTTCTTACAACTTCATTTGTCGCTTCACTAACCTTCTGAGGATCAAAAGTCGGAAGGCGCAGACTCTCCACAGAAGTCAAGGCTTCAGCTGCCGCCTGATTAGCGGCTGTTGCAGCATTCTTCTGCTCTTCAGCCAATTCTAGAGTCCTAAATCGTCACGCAAATTCAGAAAGATGAGTTACTGTAAAACACCCTACGCCTATTCAAATGGCCATTGAGTCGATTTATGAAAACATATTTGAAACGTATGTGAACTGCATTCACCCATGGTCAACGACAGAAAAAGAATTGTAATACAACAGCTGAGAAGGTGAACTTCATTTTCGTATTTTCTACTTGGATACTTGGACGGTTCACCCTCACTGGTTCTAGGGATCCCCGAATAATTTCCATTGTTTCGGCGTTTTGCTGGCTTAGCCATAGTGCTTTCCTGAAGTTAGCCTGGCTAAAGTGTGCCATAGTTCGTCACCACGACAAGCAGTCGCCGCCCTTGTGAACCAGGAGATTTGCCACCACGCGAGTAGGTTAGTATAAGGACGGTGGTAGATTCTGGTATCGATTTATTCTTAGTTAGGCTTCCTGTTGGAAACGCCGAACTTCTCAACTTGGGAGGTCCTGCTGTGGGATGAATATCCCCCCGCTGTACATCGCAGCCCGATACTCCAGGAACACCTCCCAGCCACAATGAGGCGGAAACTGTTGGTAAGTTTGTACTTTTTATAACATCCAAATCTGGTGTACCCTAATTCTACACTTTTTATGCATATAATATGAAGGAAACATGTTCATTACCTTCTCAGTGTTTCATTCAGTTGTGACTGCCGCTCCCTCATTTCAGCGATTTGTTGCGAAATTTGTTCACCTAAAACAAATCACTGACAGGGTCCGTGATTTAGTTTATAAAAGTGGAGATATTTAATAAGAACTGACCACCATAAATAGCATCCCGAGCCTCTTTGTGCGCCTTTTTGGCATTCATGTTCGCCTCCTCAGCAAGCCTCTCAATCTCCTTTGACTGTTGTTCATGCCTAACAGCCTCCTCACGAGTTTTTTGAGCCAAAATTGACATCTGAACTATCTTTTTGAAGACAGAACGTGTTAACTTTTTATTTACTGCCTAATACAATTTTTCAAGCCAAGGTACCTAATACAATTTTTCATGCCAAGGTACAAGGTTTCTATGTGTGATACAACCACAATAATGCCGAGATAATTGCAGAACTCCGGAACAAAGGTGTCTGCGATGGGGAAAGAAAGCGCTATTACCCTTTCCGGGGGCTAACGTGTCCACCATCATACCATACAGGTCCTTCGTTTCTCCTTTCTCTCTGCTAGTTTTCTATCTGCCAGTGTCATCAGCAATCAGAAGTCAACGGGATTGATCTGGGGAGCTGAAATCGACAAGAGAACGTATATTTAAACTACCGACAACTTCAACTACTAACATGGTAATGATAACGACTTCCGCAGGATGGATTGCACGGAAATACAAGTGCTTATCACCAGATAATCACCACTGTCAACTATTCCATCCTGTATAAACAGCATCACGGGTGAGTATGCCCAGTTCCTTGAAACATGCTCTACAGAGGAAGATCCAACTCGATATGAAGAAGACACCACATCGAGAAGATGAACAACTGCGGACAATCGACTCGGACCATCAGCTCTGATGAAGACGAAGACGTCGGAACGTTAGTCGAATGAATACTGTTTATCGACATCGTGTAAGCTCAACAACTTAAACAGATAGTAAACGTCCAATTTTCATAAATCTTCATCGAAAGAGTAAACTAGGTCTACATGGCGTTAAATACTTACTTGCTGGCTTTGCTCTCCGTATTTTTTGCTTGCCTCCTTAGCCAATTCCCACTGCGTCTTGCCCTCAGTATCCAGATAGTGTAAAGCGTTTTCCAATTCACTCCTGGCTTGCTCTGAAAACCACAATGATGAAGTAGTTCAAGCATTAACTCCAATACCAGTATAACAAAATAAGGAGTTACAGAAATTCTTGGGAGAAAAAACTAGAGAGTAAAACCAATAGCTCTATCTACCATTAATTATCTTCCATCGTTGGAGTCCAACTTCCGTCTGCTCTACTTTTCCTCTAGCTGTATTCATCATTTCGTCTACACTCTTTACATTCACCAAAGCATCAGCAATATCATTCCTTAATTGAGCAACCTGGCCAACCAAAGCAGAGTCGTCCGACTCTAAAACACAGCATCATAACACCATAAAGAATCTTAAAACAATCCAATATAATCGGCTTCGTCGTAAGCAAATGCGATTTAGCTAATCAATCGAAAAAACTGCCACTGAAACAAGAACGGAGTCCAACCTAGCCTCTGGGTTACACTCTCGGACAATTTTTGAACATCTTCGCTAACTTGCTTCACACGGTCATCGAATGCGGTGTCGTTGACCTAGACAACACAAACATTCAGACATTCTACGAATCCAGTATGACATCGAAAATCCGTAAAGACCTGTGAAAACGAACATACCGGTGCAGGGTTCTCTATTATCTCCTTCAAAGTGTTGTCAAGTTGTTTCACACTTTCACGGAATGCATTCACTCGCGTCTGAATCAAGGTGTAGCAGTCGTCACATGGAAGACATCCAGAATTGATGTCGTACCGGTTTTCCACGCATTGATCACAACGCCGTCCCTCAATGTGATCACGACAAAGACATTGACCTGGAGCAATAAAATTTTGAAAATCTGGAAAACAACAGAAAACAAATCTTGTACAACACAGTGCTTGGTGATTACATACCGCTGGTAACATCACACTGTAGACTTTCACTTCCGATCACTTCACAGTCACATGGTTGACACCCTTTGGGACCGAAACCAAAGTGGTATGGAGCACACTCATTACACCTTCAATTCATTCAATTCAACGATTGCATTACAATACTACTGCGGCAACAATATAACCAGGAACGCCCGTTTGTGAACACCCGAAAAAAAGGGTACATCGGCCTGTCCATGGACTTGGTACAGTTCGTGAACGCTTCTTATTACTCTTAAAATGGTCATAAAACAATGAAAAAACCACTCACTGTCTTCCAGTAACACCTGGCTTACATTTACATCGACCTGTAACAATGTCACAAGTGGCATCCTCCGATCCAAGGAGATCACAACCACAAGGTTGACCACCAATGCCAGAACTAATGTTGAAGAAACCATACTAGAATGGGAACAAAATTTAAAAACGCAGATTCCTTTCACCTTTCTGTTGAAAGTAACTGGAAAGTATTGCAATAAAAAAAATTGGAGTAAAACCCTTAGAACAAACAGAACAAGAGCTGCACGAAATTGTAAACCTTTAGAAAACCGCGTAACTCCTCTTATCCACTTATAAGTGCACTAATCTCAAAATAGCACCTCGACAAAAACGAAATGTTAAAACGAACAACATCGAACCTCAGGCTGATCGCAGCGGAACCCCATGATATGTGGAAGGCAGTCGCATTGGCCGTTATCCTGAGAGCACTCCAAAACAACGTAGTCATGTGTCGGTCGACGAGTCCCGGGTGCAAAGCACCTAAAAACAAGCTAAAAATAAACGACATCAAACTTTATTAACGAGATTTCGACTGAAAATAGGTTGACACTCTGGAATAACAATTTGGGATGTAACCACAGTGTAAAACACAGTTTATGATCTAACACTGTAAAACACATAGAAGCAAAAACTTACTTTCCAATGCCCTTGGAACACATCCTCATACAGCCTTCAATCATCATAACCAGAAAAAAATCAACAGAAAGTAAGCTCATACCCGCAAGCTTTGCAATTGCCTTTCGGTTCCAAAAGTGCATCTCCCCAGTATCCTGGCTTACACTTCTCACAATGGAATCCGTGTGTATTGTAAACACATTTTTTGCATTCGCCAGTAACTCTTAATAGGAACTCATTCATAAACCACATAAGATTAAACCAAGCTACCCTCGAAAACTCACTTATCACAATTTCCGATAGAGTTCTGGTCTATGTTACCCGAACATTCACATTCTTTACACGGGATTCCATCTTTTGGATTTCCGAAATAACCATCCGAACACTCATCACATCTAAAAAACTGTGAGAACTCTGTAAAGGACAAAAATAGCTGCCATATATAAAAACGACAGCCCACCTCCGCCCAGTATAACCTATTGGGCATTCTGTGCACAATATATCGCCATCGGTATGAAGAATACATGGCCCGTCCTCAGGGCAGGGACATTTCTATAATCGAACAATGAAAAACGGGAAAAATGGAACGGAAATAAACAAAAACCACGAACTCAAAAGATTAGCAACGGCTAGAAGAAGTTAAGTTATACATGCGAGAAGAGCTTAAGTATAAAGGGAATTCATCAAACCTCGCAATCTGTCTCAGTACCGGTCAATGCATTTCCATAGTATCCTCGAGCACATCGCTCGCATGTGTCACCTGCGGTGTTATGTTCACAAATGCACGCACCTGAAGCGATACAAATCTTGACAACAAAACGTGGATATCGCACTCTTTCGTCGCTTATCACCGTGGAATTTGCGTAAGAAATAGCATTGTTTACAACAGTGCTTGAAGAGGAAGTGCTCAGTACTAAAAGTACCTATGACACCGCGCTAATTTACTGACACCTCTGAACTACGCCAGCGACCAAAAATCAAAGCGCTGTTCTACACGCCAAACTGTCGATGATAAGGTGGGCCGGACATGTAATGCGCATGAACGAAAACCGTTAGCGACTGGGTGCTTGGGGATGTCAAAAGCACAGGAGGAAGACCGCCGATCCGATAGTCAGAGTTCCTCACGAAAACCTTAGAAGAAAGGCTTAATGCTCAACGAGACCCTAGAGCGAGCATAATCGACTGTGTTACTTTTACACATGACAGAGACAAATAATGGAATGTTTACTGGAGCTCACTCGAATCACTCGACGATCAACAGAACGACAGGTGATTGCACCAAGTTCCAATCTACGAAACAAATTAATTCAATGCAAACTGACCACTCTCTGCGTCGCAGCTGTCTGAGTGACCATGACAGTCACATTTGATGCACCGATTGAATGGTCCTCCGTATTTGAGTTCACGTCTATAACCCGGTGCACAAGACTCACAGAACTGACCCACGAAACTATAACAGGCCAGAAATAGCTACACTGAACCATTGCATGTGGATATACTTTGAAAATCTTGTCGCCTACCCGCTGAGACATTCGCAATGCTCAATCCAGTTGGCTGCTCGAGGAACAGACGATGGTGCCAGTCCAGCGGTGCCAAGTTTTACATTCGATAGAAAACCAACATCTACATTACAACACACGTGTAATTCCAGTATATTCGACAAGAATATTGGTGAAAAAAAACATGGATACCTTGATAAGAATACGTTCCTCTAATTTTGAGTGCTGTAACATTCGACAAAATACCGATGAAGTCCAACTCATTAAGACGAGGATGCCATTGAAATTGGGGATCCGCATGAATACGGAATCGATATGACTAGAATTCATTTGTTACAATGAAAAACGAAACAGTCTTCCCCTCTAACGAGCATACTTGAGTTTCTAGTCCTGGTGTTGGGTTATCTTGAGCGAAAATTGGTACTGACAACTCCTGTCCATCACCACCAACAATCACTACATCTCTATAGAAAAAGCGATACAATTCTTCACTCTTTGCAAAAAAGAAACCGTCCTAAAATAAAATGCCTACTTTACGCTCGGTCTAGCACCTTGTTTAGTAACGCGTAGATCAAATGTTAGTAGCTGATTATAGGAACTGCGTTGGTCACCACTAAATTGTTCAGGAGCCAAAAAATGAACTGGTCCTTCATCCGCACTGGACGCCTTCAACAAAATTCATTCAAAAAGATACACAAACGCAGCATTAATAATATGTAGAAGATGCAGAAAGGGAAAAAAATGAGTCTTACCGCTAATGCATGATCTAACTCAGCCCACTGAGCATCCACAAACCCGTAATGAGACTGAGCGGACCACTTTTCTTTACCTAAAACAAGAACACTGGCCATTTCCATAGTAACATTACAAAAATGTAGAAGGCAAAAAAAAACTAACAACACCAAATATAGTCTATAAAGTTACCGGATTCAAAGTCAGACGAGATGTTCATGGCATAATATCCAGGCGCAGTGGAACAAATAGAGGAATGGCCATAGCAAAAACATGGTGAGCATCCAAACTGTCATGAAGACAACTTCGAGAGGAGTAGGGAAATCATCAAACACAAAAAAAATTACCTGGTTTTCTACGGACAAGTCGAAATAACCCGGTTTGCACTTGTTACATTGCCGTCCTTCAACGTTTGACTTACAAAGACATGTGCCAGTGACCACATCGCAATGGGGATGATTAGCATGTGAACCAGCAAGCTCACAACCACAGTCTCTGCAGAATAGTGCTACCAAGCTAGATGGCAACGAGAAAAAGTGCTAGATAGAACAATTCCTATCTTTTTTATCTCACCCCCAAAGACATTTCCATCTCGTTAGCTTCAAAGAATAGCCCTTCGCACATCTTTATAAATGCAAAGACGAAACATAAATTCTCGCGATTCCCTTGCCATAATTCAAATATTCTCTCCCAATGACTAACCATCTCACCGTGGTAATGGAATATTCCTGGATTTAGGAATCGCCATGTCCACCAGAAAATTCATCCTTTGATACGGTTATCCAAATGCAAAAGCCGAATATTTTTATTCGATATACCTGGTAAGAGTAAGTCTATGCAAAAAATAGCCGTCATCGTGGATTAAACCCACTCGAAAGACGACAAATCTTCATTCACGAGGGCGACTGGCTGTAGTCACTAGAGCGCCTCGGAACGGCTACCTCGATAAGTCAAAATAAAGACTTGTCGGAGCAGAAACATACCGACGGAACAAAAACTGTGATAAGGTACGGAAATACCGAAAAGAGAGTCAGAATACACTTGGATACTTGGATGGCCCATCTTCACTGGTTGCGCGAGTCTCAGCACAACTTCCGGAGCTTTTCTGGTTTAGTCATTGTGGCTACCTGGAGTCCCGAGGTCACCTAGGCCAAAGTCTGCCCCAGGTCGTCACCACCACAGCGAGTCGCCGCTCTCATGGATCAGAGGGAGATTTCCCACCATGCGACTAGTTTGATACAAGGACGGTGATAGATCTTACTATTAGCTTACTTTTAGTTGGGCGTCCTCATGGACACGTCAAACTCTTCCTCAGTATTGGAGACCCTTCTGGGAGGATGAATCCCGCCACTGTAGATCGCAGTCTGACACCAGGAACACCTTCTAGCCACGATAAGGCGGTAAACCGTTGGGAATAATTCGAATGCAATGTGACTCTGATATCTACCTACTGAATATGCTTTGTTATCAAAAGGCCTTCAACATACGCGAACGCTGTGATCACGGAACCGCCTTGTCTGAACGTCAGCGGGTAATTTAAAAACTCTTTTCAACATTTTTAAAAAATTTCAGGCTCTAATTAATCACAATATTGGCAGCTAATAAAGGTTGCCAATCACTGCTGCTTCAATAAGGCTGCGTTTAGCTAAGAATAAAAAGCAACTCTCCCATCCACTATTACTTTACTAGATATGTTTGAGCCTTCTCTAAATGAAAAAAAAACCAATGAAGTGTCTTCTTTTAGTGAGAATCACTTACTTGCATCCATTTGGTCCAAAATCGAAGAATCCATCCATACATTGATCACAGTAGCGTCCGCCAACTCCGGGTTTACAGTGACATTGACCCGTGTTATCACACTGTTGCGACAATGAACCAATCTGGAAAGCTTCTTGAATGCATTCTAAAGAATTTCCTTGAACATTTCACGTACCTCATTACAACCACAGCTCACACAGTAGTTATCACCAGGTCGACGCCAATGATTCGGAGCGCAGTTCTCACAATGAACTCCCTAAATATCTTGACTGAGTTAACTTTTCATTTGCTGCCTACTACAATTTCATTGTGAATCCAGCTACAGCCTTAGCTTAACTGGGTTTAATGCCGATTTGGGCTACCCAGAGCAATCCCGTTGACGGGTGACCGCTGATGGCACTGATCGACAGAAAACTAGCCTAGAGAAAGGTGAAACGAAGGACGCGCATGGTGTGGCGGTGAGCGCGTTATCCCCCGAAAAAGGTAATAGCGCGCTCGTTCCCCACCACAGACACCTGCGGTCCGGAGTTTTGCAAATATCTCAACATCTTGCAGTTATCCATCTTGATTGCATCCAGAAAGTCAAAGATACTTCAGTAATACAAAGTACTTACGTGTGTATTTCCCTGACAGTCAATACAATGTCCACCGTGGCCGGTTTTCTCGAACAGCTCGTGATCGAAGAAACAGCGATTGGAGAGTTGAGAGCAGTTACAAGCTGTAATGAAAGTCCTTCACGAAGCAAAACGAAAACAAAAGGTAAAAACAATCGCGATTATAAACACTTCTTATCTACGCTAATAAAAGACATAAGAAGAAAAAAGAGAGTTTCTAAAGAACGGAGAGTTTTGAAAAACACACAAACTATTTAAGAAAAGAGGTCATAGTGAGCATAAAAAAGATAAAGCTCTCGACGTTGATCAATCTCTGAGGAACACGCCATGCATTCAACTCCATCAAGCATCGTTGGAGGTGAGTGAATGCATATTTCGCCTTTAGAATGACTCTCGGTGGCTTGTCGATGTGACAAGCCAACGCTGCTATCCTCCCAGACCAGTTTGGTACCGATTTGCGGATAGCGGAGTTGCCATAGAGCGCCCTCTGTCGTCTGTGGTGCAACTCGGGCTGGAAGGCGCCTTTCTAACGATGTCACCGGGTGATTTGCTTCTCCCATCGGCAAGTGCACATATTTCCACTCCAGATTTTCAGCTTAGTTAGATTTTAATCACTCCATACAAAACATGACCACGGGTTTCAGTCTAGTCGTGTGCCAGCCGGACAGTAGACATGGGGTGTTCTGTGCATATCTCGAAAAACAAATGCGTTTGTCCTATAAAGGTACTTCTACTAATCGTACTCATCTTTTTCATCTAGCGGAAACCTGGGACTGACTTACACTTGTACTTCTCAGTAACGAAAAGTGGTTGTCCAGATCTAACTTTACCCACAAAGTCTGCTAGCTCGCCCACTCGTGAGAACCCCTGCCTGGTATTAAGCCCTGTTCTCACAAGAGTGTCATGCTCGTAACATGGTTATTTGTGTGGGGAATTTCTCCACCGGAAACTTAATCAGACCCTGAGTGAGCTGTTGTCAAGTAATTCGATTGAAGGTCAGTTTTACTTCAACCGGTTCTCAATCCACGTAAAAAGGGCCGTAAAAAGTTGACGACTGAGTCTCGAAGGTTCTGCTTCATCCGCTGTATGGCTCCGAACTGCTCGGTTCGTATTACTACTGATATATTGTTTTAGGAGAATGACCACTCCTGTTTTATTTCTCTTTTCCTGTCTATTCATTTACTTTTAAGTGAGAACTTTATAGTTTCTTGTTCACACCCCACTAGAGAATTATTACCTATGCTTCATTTATAGAAATAATCTGTCATTTTTGGATCGGAATACGCACCAATGCACTCGTTGGCTTCACTGGCAGTTCCAGGACGCCAAGGTCGATCATTGTAGAAAGGTAAACACTCATCACAGTCAGCACCTATAATATTGGAATGGAAAGAATAATTCTCAGCATAGCCATTAGACTTTCACCTATTGACCAAAGAAATATTGACTAGAAGACGAAACACTATACAATTTTAAACAAAATACGAAATAGGCACGTCACGTCTACAAATTCAGGCCGTTCAGATTCGTTGTGTTCTTACCCTGAGTGTTGTGTTCACAGCGACAAACCAGTCTATTCTCACCGTCCATACTAGACGACTGAACACATTCGGATGCATGGCCGTTACACTTGCATCTAGAATAAAATAGTATGTCAGTATATTCTTCAGAAAGAAAACCACTCGTCCACTAAAATAACTGCCGAATGCTCACCGTCCTCCGACTGCAAAGTCGGAAATGGCGTAGTAATAACTTCGCAACACTTGCGGATCACCAAATACTTCGTCTCCGAAGGTGTTCATTCGATTTAAGACAATTCTAATAGCGGAGGCCGTTACCCATTGCTGAACGGATATTCCTTGTTTAAAGATGGTTGTTAAAAATAAATAATAGGAACAGGAATAAATAACAGGAATAACAAGAAATAACAGTAATAATACAGTCTCTACTTAATATTACGTTGGAATATCACGCATGATTCCGTTAGACATTTTCGGAACAAGAATTAAACCTTTCCACTAAGTTGTTCTCCGTCTCATTTGCTCTAAACGCCCCATATTGTATTTTGAACCTTGTCGTTATTATAGGGGCGCATGAGGCGCAGTGGTCGGAGACGCCCAGCAACACATACGTGGAATCGATCCCTGCACTCGTGGCCCACCAAGCCTTCCATCCTTCCGGGGTCGGCAAATTGGTGCCAGACTTGTCTGGGAGGGTAGCAGCACTGGCTCGATACAACCGTAGGGCACCGCGAATAATTATAAAGACCAGATATGCATTCAATCACCTCTAAGCGGTGCTTAGTGAAGTCGAATGCATAGCGCATCCTTCAGGGATCGATCAGAGCCGGGAACTTTAGAACTTTAGAGCTGTTATAACAATTGAAGCGCTTTCAGCCAGTGCAAACTACGCTCTCTTGTGATTAGGATGTGGCGTAGGAAACCAATCTTTAATTCGAACTGTCATTTTTGGAACGAACCAATGACAGGATTCACCACTGCCCTAAAACGACCTGAAGAAGGCTTCAGTTAAGCTAACCTCGGGACTCCAGAGAACCAATTTACCTAAACCAGCAAAGTTCTAGCATCGGTATCCCGCAGAGCGCTGCGATGTCGGTCGAGTGAGACCACCAGTGAGACGCGATCAAATCTCGGGTTGCACAGGACGTTAAGGGAAACGGAACATAGGAGCACGCACATGACAGACCATGGAGATTAATTTTTGCTCTGTACCTATAATAGTAAGACCGTCTTTTCAGGCGCCGTTCATCAGGCCGTTGGTCGTGTAAAATTCTACGTTATCGCCCCACGGGAGACAAAAAGCGAAAAGACCGACATTTGTCAATTAGATGACGGTGCCATTGTAATTCGTGGTGGAAAATTTTCGTAACGAAGTGCCGCAGGCGTTGGCTTTCTCGTAACCCATCCTGTTCCATATCACCGCGCTTGGCTACTATTCGTCTGCACAGTCCGCGTCAAAAGAAAGTCAGTATTATCAGCTGGTACTCCTCAGCTTGTAGAGCTGATAAAAAACCGGAGGAAGTAATCCGCAACGGGAAATCCTTCTATAAAATCGTGGTTGGAGACTTTAACACCAGGTAAGGAACGGCGAACGAAAGTGAATACAGGATAGGGAAATTCAGAAGAGGAGAATGAAATGGAAATAAATCGTCTTCCAGAACTCCCGTTCACAGCAAGTCTCTTCTATTGGGTTCATTCTTCGAAAAGAAAGAAAATGGTGATGGAGAAAGGAGTCTTCTAACGGCACGACTCATCGGAGATCGACAATATTCTCACGGACACAAAATGGTGCCTCTTTGAGACCTAAGTGGCACCTGGATTCTGTCTTGTATCTGATCACCGCTTTCTCCGGGCGTGGATTCGATTCAATCATAAGCTGAGAAGGGACACCTGTTATTGACCAAGAAAAAACTGTTCACCTGTGACGAAAATACTATCGAAGGATTGCCCAAAAAGAAAAGGAAACTGAAGCGTGATCACACTGAAACACACCTAACACGGCTGGTAATAAATGCCAACTGCATAGGTCTTTTGCAAAAAGATTTACCTTGGTGTGGGCAAAAAGAATTATTGGAAGCAGCTCAAAAATGGTTTAGTCTAATGAAAAGCGATCATTTCTGCTCCATAAACAACGTCTCGGATCCCAATATTTAAAAATCGCACGGAATTCTGTCCTCTAAAGTTCGACTTGCAATAGAAAGAATGAAGAGGCGCACAGCTCCATGACTCGATAACAAAACGACTTCCTTCGAACTAAAGGCAACAAACTACATGTATTTCTCCACACAAAATGGCATCTTACTTTCGGATTAAAATCCTGGATCAGCAAAGGACGTCGCAGATGGGCATCTTATGCAAGAAAAGTGACCGAAGAGACCTTCATAACTACCACCCACTATGCGTGTTGAGTGTACTCTGTAAGCTGTTCACGAAGATTATTACCCTTTTGCGCACATCGAAGAGCTTGGATGGGATACAACTTGATGAGCGAGCAGCATTCCGACAAGAATTCTGCAACATGAAGCAAATCGAAACCGTGTCACGGGTTATAGAAGTCTGTTGGTTGTTCCATCTCCCATTGTCCTAACCTTTATCAATTACGAGAAAGCGTTTGACAGTGTCGAAACTAGTGCAATCCTATCAACGCTCGTCCACCAAGAAGTGGACCTGTCCTATATACGAGCACTAGCAGACTGTCACCGGAACTGCAGTGCCAATATACAACTTTTTCATCGACCTGTCACCACACCCATAGGAAAGGTGGTTCGATAAGGCTACAAGATATCACAAAAGCTGTTTAGTGCCGCATTACAATGGATTACGAAATATCTCGATTGGAACGGGAAAGGCATACGTATTTGTGGAAAATTCCTACCAAATCTTCATTTCACGGATGACATCACATCTTTCGAGTAGCACCAGGGAAGCAGAAACGATGCTCAGTGAACTCAACGAAGCGGGAAGAAACATTGGATTGCGCATGTATGGAAAGAGGACCCCCTTCCCACTAAGAGTTACTATCGTTGTAAAGACTTTCGGCAAAACCCTGCACTTCGTAGTGCTCAACTGCATTGGTAAAACGCCTCTCATGTAGGAACCGCATACCAAAGACCTTGGTTGAGGAAGTTGAGCAAGAGTCTTGCTGCATGGACCACATCCAAGCAGTGTCACAGGCTATACAAGCCTGTCGTTGAAATATTTCCGTCTGCCTCGTCCCCTATGCTTTTTTGATTAAAAAAGCATCTGGCAGCTCAAAACGAGTGAAATCCTATGAGAAATCGTCGACCAACGAGTAGACTTGTCCTAAATAAGAGCACTACTTGACTGTTAACGGAACTGAAACACAAAGATACAGCGTTTTCATTGACTCCTCACCATACTCATATTAAAAGGGGTTCGACAAGGCTACACAATATCGCCGAAGCTGTTTACTGCTGCACTGCAATGGGTAACGAACTCACTGGATTGGAACGAGAAGAGCACATGTAGTGGTAGAAAATGTTTATGAAATTTTCCTTTCGCAGATGACATTATTACCTTTTTCCGAAGAACCAGTGAAGCAAAGACGATGCTCAGTGAAGTTTATGAACCAGGAAGAAAGATTAGACTGGGCATGAATAGGACGAAGACCCAGTTCATGAATAACTCACAGAGCCGAGGCGAACTAATAGAACTGGATGGTTTTCTGATTACGGAGACCACGTCATGCGCGTACCTTGGACATTTAATAAACACAGATATCAGCATGAAGGAGGAATTAGACAGAACACGGTGCTCAGTATGACCCGCATTAGGGTCTCTCGAAGAAATTACCGACCAGCTAATGAACTCAAAATTCCGCGCTCATCTTTTAACTCAACAGTTTTTCCAGCGCGCTGTTATGCAGCAAAGACTTGGGATGATACTTTAAGTACATCGAGAAATCTCTCACGCCACTCACAGATCGTTTGAACAGTCGCTTCTGAAATATACCCGGCACTTACAACACATGTCCCATCTTCGGGATCCGGGAGAATATGTATCGACAACGAACTACTATTCTAATAAGAAGAACAGATGACAGTCATCTTCTTAAAAGAGAACCGAAACAATGAGATACGTGCTCCTGGTTAACCTCAACCTTATTCATTCGTAGATGAGAACGATTTCAGGAGTGCTGAATGGGCCTATCGAACGTCACCATGCTCTGAACGGACCAGCACCATGGACGACGCTGGCGCGAGGGAGAAACGAAAGAAAATTGTGCTTGAGCCCGCATGGACAACCAATGGATGACGACCATCCAGGTATTCACATATTTGTCGAAATGTTGTGTATAAGAGAGCTCATCCCGCCTGGAGAGTCCCTTAGATGCGAATTTCAATGTTTTCTTGCGGAATCCTTCATAAGCGTAAACCAGTGTCTGAAATCGTTATAGTCCTAGCAACAGGATATTGGTCAGCTGATAGGCGGTCACAACCTAGGAAGCCATTATATGGATTTCGAAAACCGAGAGTAAGGAAACCTTGTTCATCTCGCAAAACACACGTGAAACGGAAAATGTGCTGCCGTTGCACGATTCTTAGTGATCGGTGGAGACGAGACACTTAGGTGTTTAGAGGCTCATTAGTTAATATTAGCCAGCAATATAATGGAATCAAGGTGCTGGTTAGATCCAATCTCCAATGACCTCCCTCAACCTACGTGGAATCTCCTCAGCTCGACTAACTCCAGGATTGCATGGAGGAACGTCTCGACCAGGATTTTACAACATTCATAGAGAAGAGCAAGAAGAAAACCTCAAGGAAAAGCCGAAACAACACGTGAAATGTTCGAAGACGTTTGTGGATGTTGAATTCCGGAAAAACGAATCGAGTATAAGAAGTACTGGGATCTACACAGTAGATGTGATAATGGGCAGTGTAATGTAATTAAATGGGTCGAATAGAAAACAAGCAGAATGGAACAAATACGGAATGGAGTGCAATTTGTTCTCGGAAGAAACGAACGCATGAAAAAAACCTGCAAAACTTCGCTGTCTTCAAAGGCATGAGCCGAGGGTCTCCCTTCAAGAGTCGAGAACGCGATATTTCCTCCGGTTATCGGCGAAATGTCAGAGAATTCCTCAATTAAAAGATATAAGATCAATAATGACATGTAAAGTCAAGATTCGCAATAATTTCGTGTATTCATGCATATTGAGATGAAAATTTAATGCGTAGAAACCTTCGTGCACTGAGCAACAGCCTCGTTACCCGGAAGTATTGGGGCTTTGTCTGGAAGACCATATGTGGCACGACATGAGCCACTGAAAAACAAAAATGAAACTGGCAACAAAATAGGACTCCATAATCCAATCACTTCACCAACTTCATAGCGATAATCAGTGAATAGCTCATGTCTCATGCTCTATCAAGCTGTTCGTCGCAATGGCCGCACTATGCATCATATGACTTGTTTGTGTTACTGTATTGCAAATAAACTTGTAAATAGATGAATGGTTACATTAATAATCTTCTACAAATTATGGACCCATTATTTTCGCACAGTCAAAGACAGTTTTGTTGTTACACTGTGAATGAAAAGTAACTCCCTATTTCGAAATACTCACCATTTCTTTAAATATTGTAATATTTTTTCCATTTTCATATAGTTAAGCTTATTTTCATGCAAGATGGTGCTTCTCTACACTTTGCTATTGTTGTACCTGAATGGTCGAATTCCCACTTCGCTGGAAGATGAATAGATCACCGTGTTTCGCGAGCGGCCACTCAGAAGCGCTGAACACCCTACGACATTCTTTGGGGTTGACTAAGGGTATACACTACCAAATAAACGACTCTAAAGGAAGTAGAAGGGTAAGTACGACCAGTAACGCACTCTCTCACAAAAACTCGTGGTGAAACCAGTTGACCCCAGTTGACGGATTCCTGGAGAGATGAGAAGCTGATAGAAAATATAGGTGGTTATATCTAATTTCGAAAAGGCTCAAAAATACGGTCTCTTCACACATTCATTTCCTGTGGAAGTTATTTTTAGAAAATATCTTACAAGAATTTTAACATAGTGAGTTACTTTTCGACCATCTTCCACATTGCAGATGACGTGAGCGCATCGCAAAGTGGTTAGAGGTCCCCTACAACACAATACACACGTAGTCGTTGGTTCGATCCAGCGACTCGCGCTCACCAAGCTCTCCATTTCCCGGGTGTCGGGAAATCAGTACCAGAGTTGAACGTAGAGAACGGCACTGACTTGATTCGTTGATAGGTCACCGCAAGCCATTGTATAGGCATATATGCAATAAGTTACCTTCACGAGGTAAATCAACACCAAATGCTTTATCCCTTATATTGCATATGAGAGAATTTATAAGATATAAGGTTTTCAGAAAAGGTGAATTATTAAAATAATACTAGGTAAAGGCAAAGTGTTAGCTTACGAATAATATTGCCATGGTTCCCATTCATCTTCTAATGACGTCTTTTTGTAGATGGCAAATGACTCTGGTCGAGGTGAAATGAATTTTAGCCGCACATATGTGATATCGAAAGACTTTCCTAAAGAAAGAAAAAAGACAACTACACAAACTATGAAGAAAAAAGAGAAACCAGACAGAGCAGTGAATAAAATTCGGTTACTACGACCTTTCGACCTCACTACGAGAGACTTGAGTATCTTGAGGGCTTGGAAACAAAAGTTCATTTTCATATAGAATTACCAGCCTATTTTCATGGAATTTGCGTACAAATTTCATTTTTCTCTCCGAAAGTGCCGTAGAACCTTCTAGAGTTACAGAACGATAACTAGATCAATAGTGTTTTATACAAAATACTAGTCGATTACTCAAACAAAGAACTTTACGAAGCTCTAAAAAATCGCCAGTGATGATGTTTAGATTAACAAACATATGAGCACAAACCAAGAGTAAGAGTGAGATTCACACTGTTTGGATACTGCATATTCTCATTCATGGTTTCCGACTGCCACCACGTCTCATTGTTGGCATTATTGAAATCCGTAAGAAAACGTGCCGGATGTTCAAACGCCTTAACGGTACATTTTATAAAGGATTCACATAACTTATAAAATACAAATAAAAATAAATAGCTAAATACTGATTTCAATACAGATGAATAACTAACCGGATGTCGAGCATCACATGTATCGCATTCGCTTCGTAAACCCGAATGACCCGATTGGACACAGAATCTGAGACAATACAACTAATTTTTTCGAAAAAAAAGACAAATTCATTTGAAAAAGGAAGCAATCTTGGCTTAAATATCTTTAAGCCATCACTGCTGTCATAGTTTCTAATAAACTTTTTTCGGGTGTGTGTGTGTGTGTGTGTGTGTGTGTGTGTGTGTGTGTGTGTGTGTGTGCCGGCGTGTGCCGATGCGTACCGATGCGTATCGGTGTATATATATATACATATATTTATGAACAGCTAGATTAACTTCTTTTTTTGCTTACAGTGTCCACTCAAGCGTTTCTCCTACCAATCTATTTATTTCCATTTTCTAAACACCTACATAGCTTCGCTAGGACGGATTTAATCGTGCTCATATGAGAAATGGACAAGGTTCTTTATCATGTTTTTGTCTGAGTAATTTTGAATTTATAGGGGAAGATGCAACTAACTTAGTGGGATATCGTACGCCACATGTATTTGTCACCTCAACTTCGAGGTTGAATGCAGCATTGATGAAGTCAGGAACACATCGTTGTGGCGCTAATGTCTCTCGATCATAACATGGATTACCGTCTAAAAATTCAAACTAGCAATAGAACAATAAAAAAAATCCGTTCTAGTGCTTGAAAAATAACCTACGATCTTCCTTTATTTTCCTTTTTCTTTTTTCATCTAGAGTATTTATGATTGGTTCATATATTTGACCAATCACGTCACAGTCAACAGTGATGGACTTTTCTGTTATCGCAAACAGTTCGCCTTATTTCCAATTACAAAATATTTTTCCGTAGCTTCTAGTTCTTATAAAATTTCCTAGAGAACGTTTGGCTTCTTAAGAATCTAAGAAATCTCTTGGGATACCAGACTTGTTGATGAGGTAAAAATCGGTGATGATTCACTCGAGTGATTCTTGAAACAGTATAAAACTGCAGCCGTAATAAATCACTGAGCTTCGTAATACTCTTTCATCACTGTTTCGTCAACATTTGCTACTTTCATATGAACTTCGACAATGGAAAAATTAATGAGTGTAGTTCAAACTGCGATGAACTTACGAATCAGAATAGCGGAAAATGAACTCTTTATAGGATTAACACACATCACGAAGACAGCAGTATTCTATATTTCCAATATTCACAATCCGTTTCAATAGCCTCAATCAAATGAAACCTAATTTGACTTCACAGAAAACCCTTTTGAGTGCACATAGCTCACAACACTTTCACATTTCATTCCTTCTTATCTCTCATCGAATACACGCTACATTATCAATCATTTCGACAAAAGGGCCGGTTTTCAACTTTTCATTCAAGTGGTGTTGCCATTCTTTTTTTTCAGTCTCAACTGGTGTGATGCGTTTCGGAACGTAAACTAATGTCACGGAATCACGGCGATTTTAAACAGTTGAGGCGAACGATGGCTAATGGCCAAGACAAAAAAAATCTCTTAAGTCTGAACAGCGTCGATCAGCTCGTCGCACAAAACCAGATGTTCGCTTTGTAGCAAAAACTCTTACAAAGGTCATTATGACCTTTCAGATAGAGTTAGCGCTAGGGTAATGTTCATCTTTACCCATACGCTAATGATTGGGGACAATCACGCACAATTTGAAAACGGTTTGTTAGAGCATGACTAGAAGGCAAGTGATAACCTAAGACAACCGGAGTTACACCACCAATAGATCACTTTGCCTTTCATGATTTTTCCGTTCCTATTTATATCATTGTATTTTGTAATGTATCTTTAACGAGAGTAGTTCTTGCTCGCATTCCGCTTTCTATTGGTTGTCTTTTTTTGTAATTTAAGACTTATAGTGCGTAGTATAAGCCCGGAAAATCTTATTCGACCTCTTAGCTTATTCCTCAACATTTGAAGTGGGATCGGTAAGAATATGATATGTTCAAAGATAAAACCAATTTGAACAATCAGCCTGCATAATGTTGAAAGCGATGCATATCACTACCTCTAGGGAACGAATAAGGAGCAACGAAAAGGAAAATAACCGATAAAGGAAGATGCATGAATACCGTAACTTTAAAATGAAAACGAGCATTGAAAGTCTTACCAGCACCGTAATGATTTGGATCAACGGTAGGAATGAGTTGAGCATTTTGCGTTGAACCGTAACGCAATAACAAAATTGATTGAAACACAGAAAACCACATTATCATTCACAGGTCATTCGGGCAGTGTCGAAACTACGAGATCTGCAACGTCTAATAAACATATGCAGCAAAAATAAATCCATAAATTGTAATCCTTATCAACACGAAATTATGGATTTGATATCTTATCGATTAAATGTGTTGCAGGAGTGTTGACACACGATGAGATCGTACAGGAAATACCACTGTTGTTGATAACATTTTGAACTTCGTGCACACAAGAACTAGATGTGATCGACGAATTTCCAACATCTGCCACTACGGCTTAAAAAAAAACTCCAGAAACAGATGAGCTTCTTGAATTTTAGCAAGTACATATGCTTAGCGCACATCGGCCACACAGCATAAGGTTATCGACATAAATAAAATGTGAGGACAGATCACTACAACACGAATAAAGAACGCTTGACTGCGATGTTGGCGGTCCAGCAATCTGTTTAAGGGGATCGGCGAATCAGAGATGATTTAATAAAAACAAGGAAGTGAACTGAAAGAAAACAGCCACAATGATGCTGAGATGTGCGCAGAATTCGCAACCTCAGGTGAGCTTCATGCCCTCGATTATGCCTTCAGGGTGCGCACGTGCAATGCACAACACCAATATAGACTATTGCTTTGCTTTCCCGTCAGCTAATTTTCAACTCTATCGATGCTATCAGCAATCATCCACATCATATGCCACCATGGAAAAAGAAGGACAGCAGGGATAAAAGTTAAAACATCATGAAAGAAAACAATTCATTTCAAGTTCTTACGATATGTGAACTCACGGTCTCAGCTATCATGTTTATCTTTGTGATATCAGACAGGACGAACATCAACATTACGATATCGCAGTCGCGATTAGAAAACTACCGTGAACAAAAAAAAGTAAACTCATTTCAACATGATATGGGCAAAGCAGTGAACTAACTGTTCGATATGAGGGTAGATGTTAAGAAATACCATCATGATATGAGATGACGATATGTTGATCAATCAATATTGGCATTGGTATGCTAAGGAATGAACTGCGTAAAAGTCAACAGCATATGGAAGGTGTGCTCTCAATCACGAATATGAGGCACAGAACGAGGGCAAACATCACAATGACCCACATTAGAGCAAGCAGTGTGCGTGCTAAATATGTACTTGTTGGTCGACATCAACAACGTCCAAGCGACTTTTTCTCACAGTTATGCATGGTGTCCCATAAATGTTGCGGAAACAAGTTTCCGTCAGCAAATAATGGCATTTTTGTAATCTAATGAATCTTTTACAATTGTCGACGTAAATACTAATGATAAGTTGAAATGGGAGCGGTGCTGTTGTGGAAACTATCTAACCAATACAACGCTCTGATAATGCTTTCTCGCAAGGCTCTCTAAATATCCGAAAACGCAACATAAACGGTGGATAGCGTGACTTTGGTGGGAATGTTCATGAAAAGGTTTAGTTGAGGAATAATGTCGTGAAATAATAAGTAAGCCACACGTGAAACGACTACAAATCACCGAGGTGAACACTGGCGATCGTGCAAATGAATGAAGCCATTGTGACGGAAAAGCCATACAGCTGCAGAGCTGTTTTTGTAATAATGGAAAATTTAGTGAGGTCTACGTGCTGTCGAAAAACGGAGAGAAGAAAAACCATCAGCACATCTGTGAACTAAAAGGGTGGATGGAGGTCGAAATGCTATGGTCGGTTATTCATTAACGGCTATAATAAACAAATAGCAAGAATAGCACAGTGTATGAGATTCTACGACGATGTGAGAATAATGAAAAAAAATTTAATGAATTCAGAATAAAGCGATAGGAAGCAAATAAGATCGTAAAAGCCCAAATGAATCATCGCTGGACCGACAATCACTGATGACGTCGTCGACACCACGCACCAGTAACGACGCTTAATTGAAAAAACCGCAGAAAAAAAATGTTCACATTTTGAATGTAACAGTATAAACCACTGAGAATTAATGTAGTAGAAAATTTTGCTCATAAATCTTGAACCAGTTACATTTAAAGAATATGTCGTCCATACGATATTAATGAAAGAGAACAATGTCACTCAGAGAACATTCACAAAGTGTCTGCTACTCCTCGCCATGCTGTGTACTAGAGATCGGAATTGCTGCGAGATATGAGATAGTGGGCCAATAGCAGTGTTCGTATGCGTCCAAATACACCTAGATTGCAAGTGATTTAAAAACGAATAAAGTCATCCATGACAGGCTGAAAAGGTATGTAGAAGATGGAAATGAAGGCTTATAAGATCATTGCTGAACGCCTACCGATGCTGATCATCGCATACTTCATTGAAACAGAGTAAAGACATCGAAGAACGAAAGGGACATGTGGTCCATATAGAGATATTGTTGATGACCTTCTCAATAATCGAAGGTAACCACAAGTCGACCGAAAAGATAGCGAACATTGTCGACAGAGAGAGTAGATAGAATGACAGATAACAGAATTGGGAATATAATAAATGAGTACGATAACGAGATGGACGACAGCCAAATTTCTTGATGATGTCAGAAATTCATGTACTGATCCGATAGTGAACGAGATGGAACACGCAGGAATTTTTAAAAGTGGCCAAAAATGGTACAATAGCAATACTTGTATGACTAGGTTTTGTAACACGGCAGCACTGACTGAAAAGGTGACTGACGACGACCACCCCTATCAACAAATGTTCAGAATGTTGTTCATGATGTGAAGAGTTAGCGCTGAGTGTTACACTTCTTCATGCGATGCTCCAAAACTAGGAAGAAATGCTGACCATGCCTAACCAGGATGAATTGTTTCCTTGTGGCCTAAAAGATTCTAGCTAATAATAAAAGCTTTTATCTCCACTGTGATCGGTATTAACATGGATACCCACATTTCCATGAGCTACGAACGAACATACTACGGTTGAAGTCGAAGATTTGAAGATTCTGAAGAGTTTTTTATGCTATATAGCACTGAGCAGCAAGCATACTCGCGAATTTTTTGTATTAGTCAATAGTTTCCTGAAATGATATGAGCGCGTAACCTGACCGGTAAGGTCATTTGCCAAGAGAGTTGTGGCGAGGCGTCGGGTCATAAAGGGGAAATTGAGAGCGGCCCCCTAGGCTGCCACGCTCCGAGTCGCCTGGCCAACTGTTACAACGATAAGGCGTAAGGGCGATGAGGGAAAAGCGAGATGTGCAGAAGGTAACACAGCTAAAGCAAGCAATAAAAAAATGGTGTGTAGTCGGAAGAGTTTCTGAAGGCTAGAATTTGCATTACTGTTACATTCATAGACATAATTAAACCCAGATTCTTTTTCCATATATGTACACATACGTATAGTTACAGATAGATTCACATACACATACATCTGTTACAGGTATACATACACATATATATATATATATGTATATGCAAACAGTCTTTCTATCTCTAGGTATCTC